AATTAATCCCTCAAGTGCCATCGGTTGTTGAAGAAATTCTATACCGTGGCTCTGCATCAGAAAGCACGACACGGCTCTGAACTCTGTAGAGAATTGAAACCTGCGATCCTTTGAAAAATTCTAAATAGGATGAAGTGGAGTAATCGAATTCTTTTTCACAAATAAAAGAATGCAATTTGGTTTCAAAAGCGTATTTATGCAATAGCAGTAAGTATGATGATATATGCTTTAATTATCAGGAAAATTAATCAAGTTTGTTAATTTGTATCTTTTTCTTTTAATTTTTAAAGGCTTGTTTGAACGGTGCGGGTTTTTAGATACATTTCACTCTTTGTTCAATTACATATATGGCGCATTGAGAGCACGCGTTGCAATAATAAATCATAACAAACAAAATAGCAGTAATTTTAGAGAGTGATATTATCTCCGCGCGCGGTGCATAACCGTATTATTGAGAGAGAACGGCCAAAATTAGAGAAGTCCATGTGTAGCGGACGGAAGATACCGTAATATTCTCCGACATCCATTATCTGTACACTATGTTTTGAGGGAGCGTAAGAGGATAACCGTCGGGCCATACGCCGTCGACAATAATTGTACACCTTGCACGTAATTACAAAAGCAGGTCGCGACTGTCGGAGATACGTCGGAGATAGGCAGAATTCCAATAAATATCTCCCGAGACGGAGGCCATCAACAACGGAGGCCATCAACACCGGATTGTAATTCCTGATTTTCCATCAAGCAGCAAGTCGCGCTTTTCACTATTCATATTATATACATGCGTTCTTTTCCGTAATTTATTTTTAACTTTTAATATTTACATCTTTTCAATCGCGTATCGCAACTGAAATTGGCGCGAAACAATAATTAAACGATAATGCGAAATAGTGTGTTGTGCTTTTTATTCGCGGTTTTATCGGCAAGATATTTCTGAATCGTGATCAATAAGTCACACGTCGCGACCGCAAGACGCTGACTTGAAAATGGCGAAATAGCACGTGGCGTTATTTATATGCTGATTAAAGATTAGTTGTGTAACGCCAGGATATCTCCGCGTCTTCGCGGAGAAGCGTGTGAAATCCTGAAGGTGCACGACGTTCGATTAAGAATCGGATTTAACTGTCGCATCTCGACTCTATATAACGCCGCCATCCTTGACCTCTTCGCAAGTATGAGCGAATGAAGAGCATTCCACGCCACGCCGCACCAGGAGAAAATATAATTTATTAAAGAAAGCATTTTCTTCCGCCCTCGCTGCTCTCGTACTTACAGGATATCGCCGGAATACAGCTAGAATGCGGTTGTTTTACCATAACAAAATTTAAAAAAAATCTAAATAAAACGATAGCGTGGCGATCGTTCGAATAATTAAATAAGACGCGGCTATTTCTCTCGCTTCGTCGTATTTTAAACCCATTACCGCGATTACTTTCTTGATTAAATAGCTGATCAACAAAGTTGATCGGGAAAGCTGTTAATAAAGAAGAACAAAAAAGCAATGATTTTTGCGGAAGAGAAAGATGTCTTGTTTGTGCAACAAATGACAGTCTTCGATAATGCAGGAAATCTAAAGCGGCTGCCTCGGGCGAGACATAGAATATTCCAGTACATGGTTTCCAGAAAGAAGAATCCACATTTGTCCCCGTCCTTAGGTCGCGATGTAGCGCACAAGATGATGCAAAATTTAAAAAGTAGAAAAATCCTGCGCAACGATACAGACAAATATTAAGTGTACCGACTTAATTCTTTGAACGATCTAATTATCCCTAATGTGTATCTCTGCTTTTTAGATTTAAAAAATAATTGTATAATTTGTCCAGTTGGTTTTTAGCAAAACTATTACTAAATACCTTTAGTGGTGTGCTCAGAACATTAAAATTATGTTGCTTCTAGGATTATGTCAGAAACGAATAATTCACAAATTTATAACTAACATACTATTGTACGAACTAGCACATTTTGTGCATTGTTAATGACCTTTCCGCGAACAAAGAAAATTAATTTGTAAGAGGGAAGGATTCAAGCACATTTCGCTTACGCGAGCCAAAACGGGAGATTACGAAAATACACTTCTCTACATCGCAGCACGCCAAAACGGCTATTCAGACCTAGCGCTTTATAATTTTTCCATTATTCCGTAATGTTACTTGGCGTGACTCAATAATTGACTCAAACGCATTAGCTCGAGAATAGCTCGCGGAAATGGAAAGTTTATTCAACGTGAGTTTGTTGCCGGAATAATTTGAATACGTCAACTATTCGACGAGTATTGTACGCTAATTTGGCGGTTTTGCATATCGTTTGCCGTCGTGTCGGAACGAAAACATCACGCAATTAACAGGCCATCAATGTTCAAAAGAAAATACAATTTATAGATATTTCCGTGTCACTCGTCGCATTCGACAAATGCCCAATACTCTCGAATCGCGTATTTTTCACGGTTCTGTTACTCGTCGCGCGTGTTTATTCGAGTTCTGTTGTTTTAGTTACGACAAACTCAACAACATTTAATGGAAAAACATTTTGTTTGTAAAATAACGTAAAAACATATATTTTTGTTGCTGGTGTCTTTCGATTTGTGTAGTTTATGAATCGCAGAAAACTATCTAAATGCTGCGAAATAAATTCGCGAATACGAACAGTGCCGAAATATTTTCTCTATATATATTTATATCGTGAAAAAGTAAAATATCATTCGTAGCTGGCGGCTTTAGTAGATAATTGAGTGTCGAGAACAATTCTATTCGGTATTGTAAAGCGCGCCGAATTGGAACAGATTCTTGAAAAACTCGTATCGACATTGTGCATTAAACGTGCGCAAAGTTCACCATATAATACATCGTCGTATCTTAGAATAAATATAAATACAGTGCTCGTAATAAATGTATTTGTCTCGTGTTTTTTTAAGTACACAGCTACATTCTAGGAGATAAATTAACTGCGTATTTAAGATGCACGGCAAATCCTCAGTCGACTGCGGGAAAACATGAAGAAGAGATGCGTGGTCTATCAAAGTGTCAGATAATCTCATTTCATTACAATTCGTGACGCGAGTCACTTTACTCCTAAGCGCGACCGACGTCTTTAATTAATTTACGTTTGCCGAGTAAACACGTTTTCCGCTGCGCGAGCTGCAAGAGAGATGAGGCGGAGAGAAGCGCGGCTTCGCGTCACGTTCTGAGAAAAGGGGCGCCTGATGAGCCCGCGGACATCTCACGCCGCTGCATCCCGTAGGAGGTGCACGATGCTACCGATAGACAATAGGGTTGTAAAACAGAGTGAGTACACTTGGACACGGAAGGGGACACGTTGTTCTCTCGCAACGCGCTGACGTCGTTCCCGCGCGCTTCCTCTCGAAGAAACTACGAACCAATTTCGATTGCGACGCAGCGCGCACTGAACGAAACTCAAACCAATTTGGTGAACTCAGAGTAACTAAAAGCATTGAGGTATCGTTAAAAATTGATTTGTAAACCGAACTGGAAATCGAATCGTACAACCATTGGAACATTCGGTTAACAGTTCCACTCGATGATAATTGCAGTACTAAATGAAGTCGAGGCTATTAAAGCGGCCGCTGGAGTTACGGCCTCGCATTATTTTTCGCAGCAGGCGCGTGCGATCGATTTATCGGCCGCAACGAAAGTGGAAATAAGGAAAAAAAAACAGCTTCCTCCTTGTCTAGGAGACCAAAAGAAAATACTGAACGGCCGATATATCTTTAGAAAAAGCGGGAAAGCCGACGAGCATCACGTGACCTTTGCAGAAATCAATACGCTCTCTAGCTCGATTATCTCACGCGTTCACATATCGATGATGAACTTTCCAATTGCTTGGCGCATATTTCGGACTTGCACGTTAAACGGCAAAGTTTATTTCTTATCAAACTTGATGGAAGTTTGAGCGAGAAACGATATATTCGCTGGAATAATTTAGGATTTATGGTACCGAAACAGCACGAGACAAGATTAAAATGAGTCAAAAATCATTTTGCGATTGTTGCAGATTTAGCGCAAATGTGGCGATTTGATGCTAATCATATTTTCCATTTTCGATAAAATCTATTGAACAAAGAAGATTCAAAATTAAATAGCTATATTTAACGCTAATTGCCATATTTATCTGATGGGGAGAATTTCAATTCGAATGTGGAATTTGGATTTATTTCGTAAAATGTAGTTTATTTTGTAAATTGCCATGTCACTAAAAGATGCATGTGCCGCTAAAAGATGCGTATCACAAAAATTGCGCACGAGCTTTTGAAACGCCATATACGTTATGCACGCTATACAAATTGGATATCATGGAAAGTGAAACACGACGTCCCCATCTTTATGTAGGTTACAGCAGCGTGTGAGTTTTTAAATTAAGGCATAAATACGTGCCCCTAGTGCGTACAAACGACACATTAGCCTTTGACATTAAATGCATTAGCATGTAGTAAATGCTTTTGAATTACGTATTATGCGTCTGAATGCACTATCAGAAAAAACTAAAGCTAGAAAAATTGCATATTTTGCATGTCGCTCTTTTATTAATTTCTATGTCGCGGAATGGAAAAAGAAAGAAACAAACAAAAATCAATAATATTGTAAAAAATCTCTGTTGATATTTTAACGATATATTGGAATGACTTTTATTCATATTTTAGGAAATACGTTTAAGAATACAAATTCTCTAAAGAAATCAAAAATTGAAAGGAAATCAAAAGAAAATCTTTAAAGAATATAAAAATAGCTTCGATAATTCAACAGTCGTAAATGCTATCTCTAATAGCACAGTCATATCCTTAAAACGGAATAGACGTGCAATATTAAAGCGGAAGTGGAAGCAACGTGAGTGTTAAGTCGCTAAAATTCTCATATTTGTTCACGTACGCACGCGAAAGACACTTTTACAAGCGTTTGCGTAAACTTTAGCTTTACAACAACAAATAACAAGACTATTGCGTAAGACATAGAACTTACGCGCGTATATATGAAGACTACGTTGCGTACCTGTTTATCTGGCTCTTTGCCTTTGGCGGTGATGAGTCGATCGCAATAGCAGCCCTCCAGCAGAACGACACCACTGGGGCGTGAGCAGGTTTCATTCTCGTAATAGAATAGCAGATTCTGTAACAGACGTCATAACCGTCTAGGGTGAGCGCGCGACAGAGGCGTGAGAAAATAAACACTTGTAATATTTTCGTACTTTCTATGGAAATGGAAAATATAATGTTATTAATATAAAATTTTATATTTTATACTCGGATGACACGATCGTGTTACGCGTTTACACTACATCTTTGCGACATGTGTATTAATAATAATAACGTTGAAATAATTTAACAGTATGATGTGGCCATTTGGAAAATATAAAATATTTAATGTAGATTTATCTGTTATATTCTCACTCTGTTTTCTTTAAAATTTGATCCCCACATTTCTGGCTTATAATCTTCCTTTTTAGCGCCAAATGGCAGAAGTGTCTGACCACATCCAGACCGTTTCTACTGAAACACCAGCTCGCTCGTGCGCGACATAAATTATTACCCAAAGCTGTCTCCTATCTCTGTATAATAAGAAATTTCAACGAGACATTTGCTAGTAATTAAAGTTTGGTTTATTTACAGTTGTATCCGCGTTACAAAAATTATTTTTTTAATTTGAAAATTATGCATATTTGTTCAAATATCACACATAATTACTCAGCATTTTAGCGATCCACACGAAACTTTACTTTCTCAGCAAAAACACCGGTCATTATGCATAATATTTGCTCTGTTGAACAAAATAATAGACATAATAAAATTAATTGAATAAATATCGATAATGTTAGTACTTGAATAAATATTAATTACTTAAATAAAACCGATTGTTTGCGAATTTTGTATATCTTTCAAATTCAATACCCTGATTGTATGTGTGTAATTAATTTACGTATTTGAATAAGTATTACAGATCAATTATTAAATAATAGATATTAAAAAGTTTTTTTTTGTATCAAGATTATTATATTTAAAATACTTTAAAAAAATACATTTAATCTTTAAAATAGAGATTTATTTTCTCATTAATTTTTTAAAACTCATAAAATTTATATCTTGCAAGTTAAATAAATTAAATCCCAATTTTTAAATAGAATTTTGCTCAATAAATATGAATCGAACGAACTTCGAAAATTAAAATAATTTTACGTAAAAATGTTTTATCCCAAATTGCTAAATCTGGGCAAAAAACTTTTAATCTTTCTAATTCGACGTATCTACCGTGTATTATAAATAAAAACTCTGCAAAGATTAGCAGACTCCTTACGCAAGATATGAATTTAAATAAAGAAGATAAAAGATTTAACCATAAAATTAAAAAATAAAATATACATAAAATTATATACTAAACTTTGCACATAATATTATTCTCATAGTATAGAAATACAAATTATTTTCAAACAATACATTTATTGACGCTTTACACAATAAACAAAATTACGATAAAAATAAATCGTAAATACTCATTGTGTGTTATCAGATTAATCAAATTAAATTGTATTTCAATATTAGAGAATCTATGTAATTACCAATAAATTCAATAAACTCACAAATAATAATTATATTTATCAGATTTGGCAATTATGCATATTTCTCTAGTTATCAAATTCGCTGTAACATACACACATGAAATTTATATCACATTTCCTCGCTTTATTACAAAATTTGTCAAACACGGAACATTTAATCCAAATACGATTTAATCTTCCATTACTAAAATAATAGTTTACAATATTTAGAGACAGGAAACACAGGAGTCGTCTTCGTTCAACAAGCACAAAATAAAATATTAAACAAATTCAGCCGTTATTACTGGATAATAAAAGCTACAATATAATACCATCTGGTTTACGTTAAACCAAATTATAGCACACACTCGTTGCCAGCACGAGACTCGCGGCACGAATAACGTTGAACGTGCTCTCATTTCATAAAGCCAGTTACGTTTCGGGCAGTCCACTGGATAAAATTCGTGTCGCTGATACGCGATACAAACCCAGAACAATTTTACTTTTGTCGCGACGTGACGTTGTCGACAAATATTTAGAAACGTTACAATCGCACTGGTTTAAATAACGTCGGCGCCACGAAATTGCAATCGTTTGCGCATTCCGATCGATTGCGCCGTGCTCGGATATTAGATCGACTCGCCGATAAATTCGTCGGGTATGCAACGATAAAATTATATTAAAGTCGACGTCGCGCGCTTGTCGAGAAGTAAAAAGCAATTTCTGACGATGACACTCGGTGTCTTGTAATAAAGTTCTGCAAAATGAACTTGGCGAGATAAAAGAAAAGAGGACTACACTCTCGGCTGTGTCGGGGCACGGATCTTAGATTAACTTAACTTCTGTCGCGAAAGCTACGTGTACATTCTTATCGGGCGCAATGAAAGTTCCTTGTACTAGTTTCAAACTCACGCTCTCCGGAAGAACGCGTAAGCGCTCTCGCGTAAAGCGATCGTGAGCGACCCAAGTTTTCGATCCTCCGTAATACAAGATAGATGCGATAGGTGCTATCGAGCTTTAAGAGCGCG